GCAGCTGGAAAAGTGGGACAAAAAAGGACTATTCCTATCAAACCATGAGGGAAAGTATGTAGGTATGGTCCTAGTTCATTTGCTTTTTGTGGCTTATGGGGTTGTGGGCTTAGTTCCAGCTAGGTTTACTTAGGCAGAAGTTTGATTGAAGTGTAGAATCAAAATGGGACCTTAAGAGATAAAACTGGAATACCTGTTGCAGATTTGAGAGAGGAAATTTAAAAAAGGAGAAGACAAACTTAGAGTAAAGGGTAGGAAAGGAATAACAACTACAATTACAACAACAACAGCAACAGGGATCAGTGGCTCTCCTGGGGTCCTGAAGGTGAAAAATCTAGGATAAGTATGATCAACCTGTAACCATCCAGATGCCGATAGATGTCAAATCCCACCTCTCACTCTGCTGAGTAGATGCCTCACTTCTCACTGTGCTGAGTAGGGCTAATGGGAATTGCAGTCCAGAAACAAGCCATAAGTTACTCACCCCTAAGACTTTACCCAGACAACTATTTGTTTTGGTAGAATGGCACTTTGAGGAAGAAATGGACACTGATGGGCCAAGGCCCAAAATCTCACCCTTGCTGGCAAGTTCCATTTTCACACTGCTTCTACTTCCAAATTCCTCTTTTGCTACCAGATTGACTTCAAGAGTCAATGCAGCAGCATCCCACTCTGCTCTGTTTTGGCTCAGGGGTTCTCAGTTGCCAAACAAATATGTCTGTGATATTTAAAAACCTACCAAATATTGTTAAAAATTGTGTTGTCCCAATAAAAAGGCTTCCTTTTTTTATCCCCCCCCCCTTTTTTTTTTGGTCTGGATTCAGGATCTTACTTGGCTTGGCAAAAATATGTTTGGCTTAAAGATGGTGTCCTACTTCTGGCCTTGCCTGTATCATTAGTAAACATCTTGGCACAATAAGGACAGCTGTTCTTCTGAAAGAGAACACATTATGCCCATTTATTTTTATCAGTTTCACTCCCTGTACTGGAATGAAATAAATGTCCATTTCTCTTTAAAATGTGCTAAAAACTCCCTTTTTTTACAATACTGAAAGCTTGCTTTGGAATTTATATAAACTAATCTGTACAGTGAGCCCTTCACATTCTCTGGGTTTAGTTCCAGGACCCTCCATGAATACCAAAATCCATGTCCTGGGACAGGAGGATGTCTGGTCTGGAACTGCTGTCTAAATGGTTGCCATTGCTCCTGACCAAGAGCAGTTCATTTTCCCTCCAACAGTGAAGATTTGATTCCTGGATCAGGCTCAGAAGTAGTGCTAGTGTTCTCTTTTTTTCTGCGAGAAGACCATAACCATCCCATCCGCATTATCTCCCACTAGAGACTGATAGGCAAACATACCAGTTATAGGCAGGGATGGGCATGATGTGACCTTCCAGAAGGTTTCAAATGCCAGAAGGGGACGGGTATGGGGTGTGTATTTTGTATGTTGTAATTTTATTATGTGTAAGCTGCCTTGATTGGTTTCAGAGGGGTGGGGTATCAAATAATAATAATAATAATAATAATAATAATAATAATAATAATAATAATAATTCAAATTACATCTTACAATATCCTTCACAGCCATGCATCTAAGGAAGTAGACCAAGTCCATGAAAGCTCATGCTACAACCTTTCTTGCACAGTTAGTCTTGAAGGTACTGCAAGATCCCTTTGCATGCTTAACATCCTTCACTGTTGACATAGCTAGGATTGATGGGAGTTACAGTTCAACAAAACCTGGGGGGCAACCCCCACATACATAGGATGTACATGACAGTTCCTCTTATTGAACAATAACAAGTCAAAGAACAGGAAGCAGAATTAGGATTAAGCAGACAGTTCTGGCAACGGAAGGATGGAAGAAGTAGGATTTACTCAAGGAGCTGTAATGGAATATGTATTTATTTTTTTAAAAAAGTGATTGTAAATAATTTGGATTAAGAGGTGAATAGTAAAGAGGCTGATAACACTAAATTTATTCTGGGTGATATAACCAATAAGAAAAATTAAAAAGAAGTTGAGAATTACCTCTCCACAGTGACACACTTATAGTCGACTTTAACTGCCATGGTCCCAGCCTTTGGAAGTGTGGGGTTTGGAGTTTAGAGATTGGTATTTAAAATTCTCAGCCAGGGAGCTCTAGGACCTCACCAAGCCATGAACTTCAGGAATCCACATGATGTTGCCATGGCAGTTAAAGTGAAATATAGTGCTATAATAGGGTAATGTGAAAGGGCACTATGTAAGGAGACTATGGGCCTCGGCAGACGGCTTATTAAGCCGTCCTCGAGGCAGGG